AAGCAGCATCTGCTCCTATGATGCTGCTTGGCCTGCTGTGTTCATCCAGCCCTGCACCTTGTTGTCTCGGATTCTCCAGCATCTGCAGTTCCTACTATCAGTGAGGTCGAACCGTGTTTGAATGGGGGAAAGTTATTCGTTTTGTTTCATTCTCTATGTGTTAGCCGCAGATGCTGTTCATGAAATGCTGACTGCCTTGCGTTTGCATCTATCTCTGCATTTTTTTTCCTGTTTTTGAAAAACACAGGGAGCCCTCGAGGGCCGGCCTCCGCTATCCATTTCCCACCGTCCTCCATCATCCAGCAGCCAAGCCCCTACTTTACCCACCCAACCATCCGCTACCATCACCATGCCAGCCAAGACCCTCTGAAGGAGTTTGTTCAGCTGATCTGCTCCGACAGCTCCAGTCAGGCCACAGGACAGGTGGGGTACCTGAATGTAAGGCTCCAGCTTTTACTCTGCTGCTTCCTATTGTTCTGTTTCCGATTTGTGAAAAACCATGCTTCTAGAAGTTAGTGGTCGAGCTCTCAAATGTAAACGCTTATTTCCTCCTCTGGCGATTAAAGAGTGAGTCCCCCACCCCCACCTCAGACCTCCACTCAGATCTTTTTGACTTAGCTTGTCATTTGGCACATTTGCCATTAGCATCTCCCCTCTCTCCAGGTCTGTGTTGTGAACACCAGCCATTGTGTCGTACTGAGCTACAGTAGAACATGGACTGGGTGGAGTGAATTTAACTAGCTACTGGTCCAATTGGGGATAGTTATCTCTGGTTAGCCTGTCAGCCATGTACCACACTGATATTTGGGTGGCCAACCCCTGACCCCAGCTGGAAGACCATGGCAGATATTGGGTGAGAGTGCAGTAAGGTTATGAAGTTATGGATGGTTCCACTGACCCAAGCCCCACCTGATTCCTCGGATTTCCTGCACACAATGGGAAGCACCGTCTTTGCTCACTCCCTGTCCAGGATACCATGTGGTCAGTGGGCATTCAGGTAAGGTAAAGGAGGGGGGGGAGTGCCAACATGAGTCAGCCCTTTTGGACACAGTAGCGCACAAAGACCAAACCCAGTTCCAACCCCGTCATCAGATTGCCCCACTTCTCTCCGGACCATAAAAAAACAGCCATCAAAAAGGTCCCATCACCTGATGTCAAGCCTTGACCCAAGTGAACATACAAACTGGGAGCAGGAGGAGGCCATTCAGCCGGTCAAACCTGCTCTGCCATTTAATAAGATCATGGCTGATCTGGTTATAACCTCCAATCCACATTCCCGCCTGTCCCTGACAATCTTTCACGCCCATCGCTTAATAAGGATCTATCTACCTCTGCCTTCCACCATGTTTTCAGGAAAAGAGGTCCCAAAGACTCACAACCCTCTGGGAGAATAATTTTGCCTCATTTCTGTCTGAAATGGGTGCGCTTATTTTTAAACAGTTGCCCCTTGTTCTTAATTCTCCCATCAGAGGGAACATCACCTCAACATCTGCCAAAGGCCATTTAATCATGTATGTTGCAATCAAGTTTCCACTTAATCTTCTAAATTCAAGTGGATACAAGCTTAGCCTACCCAACCTTTCCTCAACAGACAACTTACTCCTTCCAGGAATTAGTCTGGTAAACCTCCTCTCCTGGGGAAATGCTAAATCTCATTCCCGATGGAATGATTGGTCCACAAAGATGCAACATGAAGGGATGAGCTCTGGTGGTGCAGTGGTATTGTCCCTACCTGTGAGCCAGGAGTTCAAGTCACACCTGCTCCAGGGGTGTTTACTGACATCTCTGAACAGGTTGATTTGTAAAATAACTAGTACCATGAAAGGAATATTGTAGCTGAGCTCAATGCATGGAGAATCAGGAAAGATTTCCTCTTCCACGGCAATCAGCAACAGGAGGAAGTTACTCTCATGAGGTACAGAACCTCTATCTCCAAAGGTGGGGGGGATATCAGGAGCACACAACCTGGGGTTAACACAGTTGAGGGGTGGGGCGAGACAGTTGCAAGTGAAAGTCCTCTAGCCCTAGCGGAAGGCTGGGCAGAGAATAATGGAAAGTGTTCCATTCTTTGATGCTGATGCTGATGCTGGCTGCCTCACCAGCCTCATCGACAGTATAGACTTGATCCATTGCAGATTTCGTCAGGTCACTTCTGTCTTCATTATGCTGACTCGTTAATTCAGCGTTCTCATCCTTTGAGCCTGAGCCTTACACTATACCAATAGAGAGGCCAACTCTCTCTCTCTCTCACCCTATTCACCAGTGTTCCTGAGTGCCACCTACTGCGGGTGAGCTGGCCTACCTGCTTACCTACACCCACCCTTGCCCCCTTCTCCTTTGAGCAGACTCACTGTTTGCTGGAAGCTGTATAACGCTTGCCTTCTGGGGCTCAATTCTCCAGAAACATTGATATATAAACACCCATGTGTCAGTTACCCAGCTCCCTAGCTCCCTGACCAAGATGCAGACCCCACTGGGGCCTGGCATCGCAACTGGACCAGGACCACTGAGTTGGCATGATTTATTCACTGGGTCCCATGATTAGTCACCACTGCATGAAACCTCTTAAATAAAGCACAGCTCCAGCAATTGAGAAAGTGATCTAAAGTCTCTGCAGGCATTGAGTACACCATTAAAAGGACTCGGACAGTGAGACTCACTCTTTAAAACTGTCTTATGTGCTTAAGTGCTTTGTGGAAAAATCTTTTTGCATTGACCTTTTAAGATATCTGCTACTGCTGCCTTTTGACATAAATTATACTAATAATTTCTTTACTTCCTGTTAGCAAGAAGCAAATTTGTTAGGAATGTCTTGTTTGTATTTTCTGCTGTGATATTCTCAGTATTCTTCTCTCCACTTGTCTGGAAAACCTCACTTGTCTTGTTAGGATTTGGTTATCCTTTGGCCATGCTTATAGCCTAAGCAGGGAGTCACAGGCGATTTGTCTTGGAGAACAGCTTTCCCTGTAATAGCTCCCACCAATGCATCCCAGCTGGGATTAATGATCCCCATGGTAACCCGAATGGAATGTGCTACCACGTCCTGGTAGGACTAGGGATTAGATCCCAGCTCTTTCTACTCTGGGGCCTCAATGGTTCTCATTAATTAACAGGTTTAAAATGACTTGCATAAATATGGGGGCCGTGTGGTACAGTCTTTAGCATCTAACTCTGAGCCAGAAGACCCAGGTTCAAGTCCCACCTGCCCCTGATGTGTGTTATACCATGACTGAATGGGTTATTTAGGAAATGATTGAACTTGTATAAATGACAGTGTTGAGCTCCGATCACACCAAGCTAGTCTGGTAACTCACTGTGCCTACCCTGAGTTAGAATCTTTGGGTTCACGTCCTATTCCAGGGCTTGTTGGCCTTGGGAGAAGTATTCGTGATGTGGTTCAACAGGCTCCTAGAACCTCCCAAAAGAGGAACATGAATATGCAAAGTAAATGCCCCACCAGTTTGAGAAATTACAGCTGGTTTAGCAAATTTTGGCATCAGCTTCGAAAACACGGAACTTACCATTAAGTGTATAAATTCTGCCCTGATTTGCCCTACCAAAATGTAGCACCTCACATTTATCTAGATTAAACTCCATCTGCCACTCTTTAACCCATAGGCCCATCTGATCAAGGTCCTATTGTACTCTGAGCTAACCTCCCTCACTGTCCACTACACCACCAATTTTGGTGTCATCTGCACATTTACTAACCATACCTCCTATATTCACATCCAAATCATTTCTATACGTGACAAAAAGCAGTGAACCCAGCACACCGCTGGTCACAGACCTCCAGCCTGAAAAGTAACCCTCCACCACTATACTCTGTCTCCTACCTTCAAGCTAATTTTGTATCCACATGGCTAGTTCTCCCTGTATTCCATGTGATCTAACCTTGTTAACCATGCAGAACCTTGTTGAATGCATTGCTGAAATCCATATAGACAACGTTCACTGCTTTACCTTCATCAATCCTCTTCATCACTTCTTCAAAAAACTCAGTTAAGTTATTGAGACACATGTGACTCCAGCAATGTGGTTGATTCTCAACTGCTCTCTGAAATGGCCTAGCAAGCTACTCAATTGTATCAATCGCTATGAAGTCTCAACAAAGAAATGAGACCCCTCTGGGATCAGCAACAAATGCTGGTTTAGCCAGCAACACCCTCATCGCATGAGTGAATAAAAAGAAACATCCCAACGTCCTTGTTCCAATTAGCTAATGTCGCTGGAACAGATAAGTCCCTTAGGTGACTTACTAGGATTGATGCTGAAGGTCCATTTTCTCCTTTAGGAAATGAGATCTCGGGGTCAGAGTTTGAAAATAGGCATCTCCCATTTAAGATGGAGGCGCAGAAGAATTTTTTTTTTCTCTCTCAGTAGGTCATGAGTCTTTGGAACTCTCTTCCCCAGGTGGAGGTGGTGTCACCAAATAGTTTTAGGGTAGATCTAATCAAAATCTTCAAGATATTAACGTAGATAAAGGTAAACTATTTCCACTGGTTGCGGATTCTCGAACTAGGGGGCATAGTCTGAGAATGACAGCCAGACCAGGGGAGTTGTGAGGAGCTGAGAGGGCTGGTATCAGGGGAACGGGAGGTCATATGGAGAGTTTGTTGAAGGTCGATACCGTGGAAGGCCAGTGGGGCTCACCAACTCTGCAGGCAGGGCAGGGTAAGGAGAGCAAGAGGTGAGGACATCTGGAGCCCCTGGCCATGACTTTATGGATGAGTTCTGATCCCCAGTGAACAGAGGTGGCAGACTCCAAAACTCGAGGTAACCACAGCATCACCTCCTATCAGGAAATGCACTGGCAAGAAACTCCCAAAAATAATTAGCTCAGAGCAGTCACAGTGAGAGTAGAATGTTGTCAAGTTGACTAAGTGCAGCAGCTAATGCTGAAGGCTCCCACGAGATGCACAGATATTTTTCCCAAGACACTCCATTTTGGCGAGAAATTTCTATAAACTTCAGATTAAAATAGTTAATTGTTGTTCTCTGTGCCCTGTAATTATCCATTCAGTAATTCAGCACAACCAAGAATTAGCAGTCTAAAGAAAAACAGCTAATAGCAAACACATGCATTTAGGAGATCCAGTTCGGAGGTGGCAGGTATATTAACTGCCGATGATTACGTTCCCCTTTCCTGGACTGAAAGGGGGTCTCATTCACTTGACTGCAATGATATTTATGCTCACCTAGCTCAGACTATGCTGGTGGCATGAAGGTTCAACTGCTGGCTGAGCTGATAGTGTGTCACAGTTCCACATGTCCTCCCAGTTTCTGTGACTCAAAGTTAGCTCATCTCAATCCTGACTGGGCCTCAGACCACCTCCCAGCTGAGGATGGCAGCTTCCTTCCCTGAATGACATTAGTCAGATGGGGTTTTCTCCTGAAAATCAGCAATGATCATCAGTAGATTCTTAATTTTGTTTTAA